TCTTGACCAAACCTTATTTGTTTGAGGCCATGCATGGCCATGGTTGCAAAATAATTTTGGGTGGATTAGATTGAAATCGCATGCAAGTTTTACAATTTTTACATATACTTTCAATATCTTTATCGATTAAAGGCCAATAACAATAAGAACGAGCAATTGACTTGCACTTATTTATTCCTAAATGATTTGCATGAATTTCACTTAATATTTTACTTTGCAATTTTTTACTCTTACACCCCATAATGGGCAACGTTCCAAATGTAATTCTTCTTTACGAAAAAAATAAGACTTAAGATTTTCATCTATACTTTTTATGTCATTAGGCCATCCATACAAACAATAATTGTAAACAAATTTTAAAATGTCATCTTTTTTTGTTTCTAAAGCTATTTGTTTATAATTTATTGGTAAATTTTCTTCTAAATAATATATGCGGCCAAAATCAGGTTCGTTATTGGTAGTTTGCGCTAAAGGCAACCTGGAAAGTGCGTCAGCTATTGAATTTTGTTTTGAAGGAATAAATTTAAGTTCATAATGGTACGATGACAAAATTATCAACCATCGTTGTAAACGACTTGCCACTAGATGCGGTATATTTTTCTTTTCGCCAAAAATAGCCAAAAGTGGCTTATGGTCGCTATATAATAAAAACTTTTTTCCAAATAAATATTCGTGAAATTTTTTTACACCGTAAATAATTGCTAGTCCTTCTTTATCTATTTGAGAGTAATTAATTTCGGCACTATTTAATGTGCGTGAACCAAAAGCAATGGGCTTTTTGTCACCATTTTCGTATATGTGAAATATACAAGCTCCTAACCCATATAAAATAGCATCAAATGCTAAACCTATATGTATGTCCGGATTATAATGTACAAGTACTTTTGGAGAGGTAATTTCTTTTTTAACCATTTAAAAACCTCGATACAATCCTCACTCCAAAACCACTTAACATTATTTCTTGAAAGGTTATTTAAACTGTGTAATTTAGTGCTTAAATTGGGTAAAAATTTGCCATAAAAATTTATTAACCCTAAAAATGATTTTAATTATGTTTTATTAGTGGGCGTTTTTATATTAATTATTGCTTCAATTTTTTCTTTAGTATGATGTAATCCTTCCGCGTCAATAACATAACCTAAATAAGCTACTGACTTTTTACCAAAACTACACTTTTCTACATTAATTTTCAGTTCACAGTCTTTAAGTTTTTGAAAAACTTGTTTTAAACGACCTAAATGTTCAGCCGGATCGCTTCCTGCAATTAAGATATCGTCTAAGAAGACAATACCACCCGGTATATTACTAAAAGTTATTTCCATTAATTTTTGAAAAATTCCTGGGCTACTGGCGATACCATAAGGCAATCTATATAAACCTTTATGAGTATTAATTGTACAAATTTCTTTTGAATACTCATCTAGTTCCAATTGTGCATATGCTTGGGATAAATCTATTTTGCTAAATAAGGCCCCACCCGATAAACAAGCAAAAATACTGTCAATTTTTGGAATTGGAAATTTATGAATCCGTAAATTAGGATTTACTGAAACTTTAAAATCCCCGCAAAGCCTTATTTCACCAGCCCAGTCGCTATGATCCACAGGTGTTAAAATATCTTGTTCGACTAATTTATTTAATTCATTTTCTACCATACATTTTAAGTGTATTGGTAGAGACCGTGCTCTATATAATGATGGAATAGTATTTTCTTTTAAATAAAGTTTAGCTTGAAAATTTTTGTATTTACCTAACTTTTTATTAAAAAATACTTTAAACTCATTTATTAAATTATTAATTTCCTTACACTCGCTACCCTGTATATTATTTACTGCAACATTATTTATTATATTGATTTGTAAGGCCTTGAGCCAATCACGACGGTCCTCCGTTGGGTATAACGTACAATTTTAATTTTGACTGTTTATTCTTGTATATACATTGACATTAATAAAGCCATTAGTAGATATTTGATTTCCTATATATAGGTAACGTTAACTTTATGTTAGATTGGTTCATAAAAGTTTTTTTTAAATATTTATTATAAATTTGCTTCGATATTAGTGAAATTCCACTACCTGTATCAACTTCCATTGAAAGAAAAATATATTCTATTAAAACATTAGAGTATTAGAATTAACATTGTAAATTGTAGATTCATCTGAATCTGATTCATTAACATTTAAGACCCTTAAATCACATTCCCTTGTATTATCAAAATTAACCTAGTTATTTTATCTTGGTTTATACAATTTTTTACATACATACTTTAAATGCCCTGTCTGTCCACAGATGTCGCAAGAAGAATTCTTATAGAAACACTCGCTCTGGCGGTGGTTTCTCAGCTGTTGCTGAATAAAGATTATTATTATTCTTAAAAAAAACTGATCAAATGTCGACCAATTTCATTTTTTTTTTTTTTTCGATAAGTCGCTTTCTCAACATGTCCAGAATATTAAAGATTTTTTTAAATTCGAAGTCATTAAAAAAATACAGATAACATGGCGAAACGAGTAACTCTCAGTTGTACTTGGACTTTTAGACGTATTTCTCCAAAACTAAATTTCATAATTTGACTGCCATGATCTTAATGGACGATTGAACTGAAATTTTTATATTCAGTTTATATATTTATTTTATATTTACACTTCTTGTTTATTTATATGTTTAATACTGTTTAAGTATCCATTCATTAATTTATTTATATTTACACCACTATTGTACATTATTTAATGTTGTTTTTGTATCTTTATTTTTTTAATATGAATGTCCTGTATTGTGAAAAACTGTTGGGCAATAAATACATTTATTATTATTATTATGATCAGGGCCGTCTTAAGTACCCGGGCAACCGCCACTACATGATTTATTGCCTCCAATTTTTTCTATGTTTATAATGAGTTTTAAATAGAACTGCGGCTCTCTTAGATCTTAAAAGAAAGCCGCACTCGCGTGTTTTTGGACCTTAAGACGAAACATTTTTAAGACTAAACTACCATATGGATCGGATAGGTTGTTTATCCAGCTTTAATTTGTATTTTTGTAGGCCTTGATACGACCATTTCTTGCTGAGCTATCGGGCTTTGAATGAAAATGGATCATTTTTCCTTTGATCATCGATATCTCAAAAACCAATAGTCGCACAAAAAGGTCGGTTTAAGAAACTGGAATGAATGCCTACAAGGTTCGGCTGTTTTTTCAAAACAATTTTTTTCCATTCGTAACATGATTTTGAAAAATCGTGAAAAAATATTATTAAAAAAACGACTAATGTTAAGTGAGCCTTTTATAGTTCAATGTACCCACAAACCCAAATTTGTATTTTTTACTTTTGCTTAATTATTAAAGAATTTTTTTTAAGTTTGTTGTTAGCTATATTAGCTATTACTTATGTACCTATGTAGTTATATATTGCTAGCTTGGTATAACATGGTTCTATCAGCCATTTTCTCGAAAATGTGATTTTTGCATAAAAAGATTTCTATATTGAACATAGAACCTTTTTATGTAAAAATGTCATTTTTGAGATAATGGCAGATAGAACCATATTAAACCAAGGTAGCGATATGTAAAATAAAATATTTTATTTATAGACAAAATTTGTTATATTTAATATATTTTTTTGTTATGTTGAGTTTTTAAGTTTACTTTAATTTTTATTTTTACTTTTTATTAAATGTTTTATTATGATTATTATATATACGTTGTTTTAGGCATAAAAAAATTGTAATTTTGGGTGATTTTTGTAATTTAATGTTTTGAGACTACCTATTTACTTATACAAAACGAAAAAAAAACAACAAAACAATAAAAGGAAAAATTTGTTGCCAAGAACTGTCAGAAAATAGATCAACCATGCAAATTTCAGAACACAGCAATGGCGTTGTTTAATTAGTTTTCATGATAACCGTTTTTAGATGTGTGATATAAACTTAAATGCCTAATAACTCGAAACCTACTTGTCAGACAAAAATTGTAATTTTTATGTCAAAAAACTATTTTCGGGGTCCTATACAGGGTTGGAATTATTGTAGTTTATTTAATAAAAGTTACAAAAATTGTATTTTTTTATTTAGTTATGCCAAAAATTAACCTTTTATTTTCACTTTATATCTATAGATCAATGCCCCAGGTCTACCGATTAAAATGTCGAACCTGACGATTCTATTTAACGCTATATTTCGGCTTGCAAAAAGATGGTAGGTATAATTATATAGTTTCTCATGAAGATTTTTTAAAAAAGCTTTAAGATTTTTTTCCTAATACATTTAAAACAAAGCCTTTTAAAAAATACAAACACAATACAAAATAACCCCTCAAGCGTAACACGACAAAGTGCAATACATAGTCATTATACTCGTAAGAGAAAGAACATAAGAAAACCCTTTCATAGAATACAAAAATCAAAAAACTGCTTTAATTACTATTCCTATGAATTTTATAACCTACTGCCAAAGGAACTTGGGAATCAAAGCTTTAATGTATATAAAAAATATTTAAAGGAGTTTTTAATAAAAAAAACATTTTACTCTATCAACGAATTTAGAGCCTTCTCATTTTAATTCTAATTTTAAGTTTTATTTTATTTCATGTAATATTCTACCAATCTCTATGTTTATTACTTGACGTGTGTAAACTTTTGTAAGTAATTAACACCAATAAACTATCTATTTATCTATCTATCTACTGTATAGAGAGAATACAAATTTAATTTATTTTGTTAATTAAATCATAGCATGCATGCTATTGCGAAATATTAAAACTGTAAATAAAGAACCAACCGGGAGATTAGCATTAATATAGGTATATCTTTTCTTGAATGAAAAAGACACTTAGGTATCTCGATAAACCATGTAGAAATTGGGTTGGGGAGCGTCTTCTAAGAGGCATCATAAAACACTCAGGAAGAAACAATACAAATTGGAACCGCCGATCCCCCAACTTTCCTTTTATCGAGCCTTTTACATTGCGTAAACAAAATTAACAAATTTTAGACATACCTTTCCGAAATCGGTTAGTCCCCCATGTTCCGGCTTCTTTCCAGGCATGTCTGTTAAGGAACAATCGGCCCTGAAACAACGAGAGAAAAGTTTAAAACGTACCGCAAGCCTTTTAGGAATCCGCTTCCGTAAAACTATTGTTCGCAGGCTAAATAAAGGGTTTTAATACACCAAAACTTAAAATTAATTTTTGAAAGTTGGTAAAAGTTATATTAATTCAATGTTTTTGTTATATAATAATAATTAAAATAAAAGAAACATAAAAATACCATATAAAACAAAATAGTACATTACCTAACAAGTGAATAAAGAGCTTATTAAAGCCGTGCTTAGCGATCGCTGCCGAGGCACTTAATATGCTTTCTCCGCCTTGTTGAATACAGCGTGAGTCATTTAACTTAAAATTTTGAAATAAATCATTTGGTATGCATTTTACGAAAAAATGATTCCAGGGGGAAATCAATCGGTACTAAAATTGGTCCTCATACTCTCCTCCTTATAGGGAGAACAGGGGGGTAACTTTAAAATTTCCAATGGAACACCCTATTTTTTATTGCAGATTCAGATTATTCGACTAAAAATAGGTAGATTTTGTCTAACACATTTTATCATATTTGTAATAGATGGCGCTGTAATGAAAAAAAAATCAATTTTGTTCGATTTTTCTTCTGTATACGATTCTGCAATAATTTTTCTATAAAAATATTTTTTTGGTAATAATTATCTACGATTTTTTAACTAATTCATAAGTTTCCTTTGGTTTAAGTTTTATACATTATTTTATTCGGTGATATATCATTATCACTTTTTACCTGCCAGCATTAAATCCTTTAATTTAAAGGAGTATTTTGTGGATTAATTTAAAGGATTATTGGTATTTAGTTATAAATAATAATTATTATTGAGGTATAAAGAAACTATTTATAGTTTAGCATTACTTAATCAATTTAGTTCGAAGATTAATTTTCAAATAAAAAGACCTCATTTCGTTAAGCAGTTAATGGATTTCGTAACACTGGAAGAAAAAATAGAAATGATTTTGATTTATGGAGAAGCAGGCAGGAATCTTGATGAAGCTATTAATATCTTGAGGAGATCCCCCCTACTAAACAATCCGTGGGTTATGACGATCGTAATTGTATAAAATTGTGTAAATAAATGTACTTAAACAGTCATGTAAATAAAACTAACATTTAAAATTTACCGCGAAGTAGAAAGGTATTTGACGTACCGAGTGCCGAACGATTGGATAGACAGGCACTCCTGTTTAGGTGGGGAAAGGTAGGGGGGAGAATGTCGGTAGTCAAGTTGATAAGCGGCTAGGTAAAGCTCACAGGAGGAATGGAGCTCGTATTCGATCCCGACTGACGTCACACACTGTAAATCCGTTTTTATTTCCCGACACGGTGCTGTTCTGAGATTTTTGGACCTTATGTGAAACCTAATTTTTTTTTATATTCTTGTTAATTAGGTCATAACTAAAATTTTAAGAGCAAAATAAAAAAAAAATTGACGATTAATTTTGTTTTAATTGAATGTTTATTAAAAAATATGTAGGTATGCACACTTTCAATTCTCCAATTAAAACTTGCGATTCTGAGAGAACAAAAATTATAGAATACGTATACTGAAAATGACAATTCAAACGTCAAATAAATTTTTAATAGATCCAAGTTTCATGGCAACCTTTAAGGATATATTAATTAAGGGAACATAAATGTATACGTCAAAGGTTAGATTAAAAGTTTGAACGTTTATTGCAACAAAACAGTAAAATATATAAAAAAAAATTGTAAAAACCTTTTTTTTAGTCATGCAAATATTAAATATTTAAATTAAATCGCTAGTTTTAATTGGATAATTGAAAGAGTGCATAATATTTTTAATAAACAACCAGTTAAAACAATTCAAACCGTCAGTTTTTTTTTATTTTGCTCTTAAATTCTTAGTTATGACCTAATTAACAAGAATATAAAAAAAATAGGTTTCACGGAAAGTCCAAAAATCACCTCTCAGAACAGCACCGTGCCGAGCGTTATAAATTTGACGTAAAGCTGGATAGCTCAGATGGTAGGGCGGTCGCTTAGCATGCAGATTTTTTATTTTAGGAATTTGTTAAAAAGTGTTGGGTTGGTTGGTTTGTTTTAGTTTTATGGTAACATAAAATCTTAAAATTTTGACGTGAGAATAAAAATTAAATTGTGTTCGATAGTCAGAAGTTGTCGAACTTTTTTTATTTTATTATTTTATAAATTTGTTGATCTTGTGTTAAAAAGTGTTGGGTTGGGTTGGTTGGTTTGTTTATGTCGTCATGATGGCTGCCGTTTTAATAAACTACGCCCGTAATCGACATGAAATAAATTTACGGGTGAACTAGGTATTTCGTATTATAATTTAGATTCTAAGTTATAAACAATTGGTTCTTGATTTTATCTTATTAAAAGAGCAGGGTTGTACGGATTTTATCTAATTAAAAGAACAGGGTTGTACAGATTTTATCTAATTAAAAGAACAGGGTTGTACGGATTTTATCTAATTAAAAGAGCAGAGTTGTATGGATTTTATCCTATTAAAAGAGCAGGGTTGTACGGGATTTTATCTAATTAAAAAAACAGGGTTGTGCGGATTTTATCTAATTAAAAGAACAAGGTTGTACGGATTTTATCTAATTAAAAGAACAGGGTTGTACGGAGTGTTAGAATTGTACTTGAGTTTATTTAATTATTTTAATAAATATTTCTTAAAGGAGATTTACCATGAACGATGTGTAAATTAAGTGTAATTGATATCGATTTTCTTGAATACGGGATTTATTAAATTGGACTTGCAGATTCACATTTATGTCCCTTAATTAGTTAAGTGATAAAGTCATATTTAATTATTTGGTATTACATTTGAAGTCCTCATAAAACAAGCCCATTTTGAATTACTATCCTGTAAATCTTAAGTGTGTAAAGGTCGGTATTCATCTGAATGCGCAACGCATACATTGTCTTTTGTGATTTGGTCAAATTATTACCTAGTATTTTATGGTAATTATTAAGTTATTATTGTTTGCCGACTAATGAGGCATAATGGGCAATTGCGGACCCTCAATTGGAATGACCTCGAAGCCGATTATTATTTACTCCTTATTCTAACAGTTGATTGAACCTGAACTCTAATAAATATTACATGAAAAATTGTGTAACAGTAAACTTAAATTCAACAGTAAATAATTATAAAAAACTTTATTGCCGATGGAATGCTTGATGAATAAAGTTAAATTTAAAATACAAAAATAGAGACTAAGACTCAATCTATTTTCACCAAACAAACAAAGAAACAAATTAAAAATTAAAACGAGGAACACATACGACAGCTAAGCTCTAGTATGAGGTATTATTTATCTAATGGTATATATTTATTTATTTATTTATAAATAATTTATGTGGGTTGCAGTAAGGGGATATTGTGTGGTTTTAAGGGTTTGTAGGATGTCCCTTTCTTTCAGAAAATTAAGTTAAATGTCGTTTGGGTTGCGGTTATTGTTGTTGCTCTATCCAAATAAATATCATTATTGTTTGTTATAAATTTTAAATATTTTATACGTTTAACTCTCTCCTATAATCCCTCATTTTGGAAGGTTTTATGAGCGATATTTATATAAAAATAAACGGGAGCCTTAGGGGTGTTTGACCTGAGTTCAAACGTAATTTATTCTCTTTTATATACTGTATTTATAATTTCCCTTTTTATACTTTCCCCATGATAACAACACCTCAAAAGTACCTTGGGTTACTAAATTAATGAGCTTTATTACCGTAAGTATTTATTTTATTTATTTGTCGTAATTTAATATAATATTTGCCGTGGTGTTATATTTCATTTATCACTTGGGGTGTAACTTTTACAGATTCTTTGCTGGGGGGTTTGTATGCTTACAATCTACGCTCAGCGTTTTCCAGATAAAATTCGATCACGTACTTCATTTCACCGTACATCAAGCAGTTTACTACAAACGGGAGTATTCAGCAGAAAAAAAGAGTTCATCGAGCAACAGTCACAGGTGGAAATAATGAAATTAATGTATTAGCAGCAACGGCTGATAATCCTCATGCAAGCACACGAGAATTATTATGATTTGGGAATATCCCAGAGCAGTGTTAGCAGGATATTGAAACGAAAAGCGAATTAATAAATGCATTGAAGTCGTAGGCCGCCATTTTGATCACTTACTTTAACTAAAATTAAAAAAATAAATAAATAAATTTAAAAAATAAAACTAAAAGTATTTTATTTATAAATTATTGGAGAATCGTATACTGAAGAAAAATCAAACAAAATAGATTTTTTTTCATTACAGCGCCATCTATTACAAATATGAAAAAATATTTTAGACAAAATCCTATTTTTAGTCTAATGATCCAAATCTGCAATAAAAAATAGGGTGTTCCCTTGGAAATTTTAAAGTTACCCCCTGTTCCCCCTATAAGGAGGAGAGTTTGAGGACCAATTTTAGTACTGATTGATTTCCCCCTCGAATCATTTAATTTTCAACATTTTTTCGTAAAATGCATACTAACAGATATTTCAAAGTTTCAAGTTAAATGACTTACCCTGTACAGTGTACAGTGTACACTGTACAAATATGTAATATTAACCCCTTCAAACCTGAATTATTTTACGACGAAAAAAAATAAATGGCTCCTAAATCTATCCAATTAGGACCTAAATAACACATATTTGATGCTAAAAAATCTTAATTGTGAAATTTCAGGATAATTTCAGGATGTTCACATGCATGTACATCGAATGTTTTATAAGGTTTAGGTGTAGATAATACCAAAATAGTTTTTAGATGTCTTGGTACATACCTTTAGGAACAAACTACACCAGTTTATATTTAAAAAAATATTTTTATAAATCATCTAAAGGCCCGCTAAGACAAACTGTCATCAACGTGTTGTTGCGGTCATTATGCGCATCCCCATTATATGAGAGAATTTTCAATCAAAAGGGGCAGTTTAAGTAAGAGAAGTCGCAACATTTACCTTTGTTTACCAAAACAAATATACTTGGGGGTGAATA